TAAATTATCCCTTCTCGCGATCCGCAAAATCAGCTAAAATCAGTCGCTGGAAACCTGGCATATTATTAAGACTGAGAGCTTCTAAGAATAACGCGTTTACAACTTCGACGCGTAGGAAGAAAAGGCAGTTGTTCTATACCCTTTCTGGTTCATCCAGGTAGAAGTCCTGGCGTATTATTATGCCTGAGCGCTTCTAGGATATATAACACGTTTAGCATTTCAACCAGTAGCCGTAAAAAAATTAGGCAGTTGTTCTATATCCTTTCTGGTTCATCCAGGTAGAAGTCCTGGCATGATATCATGATGCCTGAGCGCTTCTAGGATATATAACACGTTTAGCATTTCAACCCGTAGCCGTAAAAAACAATTAGATAGCTGTTCTATATCCTTTCTGGTTCATCCAGGTAGAAGTTCTGGCATGATATCATTATGCCTGAGCGCTTCTAGGATATATAACACGTTTAGCATTTCGACCCGTAGCCGAAAAAAAGAATTTTGGCAGTTGTTCTATATCCTTTCTGGTTCATCCAGGTAGAAGTCCTGGCATGATATAATTATGCCTGAGCGCTTCTAGGATATATAACACGTTTAGCATTTTAACCCGTAGCCGTAAAAAAATTAGGCAGTTGTTCTATATCCTTTCTGGTTCATCCAGGTAGAAGTCCTGGCATGATATCATTATGCCTGAGCGCTTCTAGGATATATAACACGTTTAGCATTTCGACCCGTAGCCGTAAAAAAAAATTAGGCAGTTGTTCTATATCCTTTCTGGTTCATCCAGGTAGAAGTGCTGGCATATTATTATGCCTGAGCGCTTCTAGGATATATAACACGTTTAGCATTTCAACCCGTAGCCGTAAGAAAGCAATTAGGTAGTTGTTCTATATCCTTTCTGGTTCATCCAGGTAGAAGTCCTGGCATGATATCATTATGCCTGAGCGCTTCTAGGATATATAACACGTTTAGTGTTTCGACCCGTAGCCGTAAAAAAAAAATTAGGCAGTTGTTCTATATCCTTTCTGGTTCATCCAGGTAGAAGTCCTGGCATGATATAATTATGCCTGAGCGCTTCTAGGATATATAACACGTTTAGCATTTCGACCCGTAGCCGTAAAAAAAAATTTAGGCAGCTGTTCTATATCCTTTCTGGTTCATCCAGGTAGATGTCCTGGCATATTATTATGCCTGAGCGCTTCTAGGATATATAACACGTTTAGCATTTCGACCCGTAGCCGTAAAAAACAATTTAGGCCGTTGTTCTTTATCCTCTCTGGTTCATCCAGGTAGAAGTCCTGGCATGATATAATTATGCCTGAGCGCTTCTAGGATATATAACACGTTTAGCATTTCGACCCGTAGCCGTAAAAAAAAATTTAGGCAGTTGTTTTAGATCCTTTCTGGTTCATCCAGGTAGAAGTCCTGGTATGATATCATTATGCCTGAGCGCTTCTAGGATATATAACACGTTTAGTATTTCGACCCGTAGCCGTAAAAAAAAAAAAAAAAAATTAGGCAGTTGTTCTATATCCTCTCTAGTTTATCCAGGTAGAAGTCCTGGCATATTATTATGCCTGAGCGCTTCTGGGATATATAGTAGCAGTTTGACCCGTAGAAAAAACAAACTCAGCCGTTCATTTTGTAGGAGATATTTAAGCGTTTTTGTCTGTGTTAGCAATGTGATCGACTTTATGCGCAGACCTTAATAATATGTTTTTTTCTTTGACGGCACTGAATAATTTTAGCCGAAACCTGAGCCGTACATTTGTTGAATGCCGCGCTTTAATTAAATTTCTCGCCCTAGAATGATGACATGATGGCGCGAAAATTGACGCCTCTATCGTATTAGATGCGAAATATGATCAGAGATAAATGGAATAGTGAATGTTACAAGCTTCTGAGTATCCAGCTGAGATAGGGGACTTTTAGTCCCCTATCTCAGCAAGATAAACAAAATTTTTTTGGGTGCTAAGACGGTGCGGCTCGTTATGGAATGGAGTGGCATATATCCGATTTCTCGCTTTCTATTCTGACAATCCTTTTGCGCCAACAGGCAGTGCCTGCGGCATTGTGTTATATTATATGCGCGCGCCGGTTTTCCCTCGTGCGTGTGATTATCGCATCCATCTTGTTGTACGAGCGATTCCGTTGACATTAAAGCTGTTAGAGTTCCTTCGTTGTGACGTTCCTGTCCCCTCAACATTGGCGTGGTGGCAGCGGTTCCTTATCCACGTCTCCGAGAGCCTGAGAACCGTCTCGCTGATCCAAGCAACGACGAGTCTTCCTATCCTGTGGTCGATTGAGTGAACTCTTACAAGCCTTTATTTTCATCTCAAGGAGAGTATCGCTTCACCTTTCCTTCTCGTCACATCATGAATTCTAATAGAGCTCCAAAGCAGTGGTCCCTCACAAAGAACGAAACCATTACTACATTCGAAGCTTGGAGACAGAATCTGCAATATTCCCTTTCTCTCGATGCTAATTTTGTCCTGTTTTTAGCTGA